AAAAAAATCCCCTCTGTGAGGATCATGCCCACTTAATGGTTTTGAAGTGTTTAGAGCCTATTACAAACAGGCATTTCATCGGGAAACTGGTGCAACCCACCAGCTTTTATTACCCCATTTGATCTAAGCCATGGCTTATTTGGTTTATGGAATGATTATCTTCACTACAAGCCCTTGAGTGGAGGAGCAGCCTTGACTCATGGATCACCACCACAGAAGCACGTAGGGAAAAAGGCTCCACCAAGCCGTAGGAGGTCCCTTCTTGGGCACCTCCAGAAGCAAGAAGGGATGCAGGAGGAGCAGTGTGGGGTGACAGCTGATTCTCTGAGGGATGACGAACACCAGGGTGAAAGCCAGCCCAGCTTCTCAGCACCCAGATGAATTATCCAGTGTACCCCACCTGTGGACAGGAGCCTGCGTGGCTGGAGGTTTTGCTTTGCATCTAAAGCTGGGGAATCCAGGGCATATCCCCCGGCAGGACAGTCACATACCAATAATTCCGGAATCACCCCGGGAAGATGCTGTAGTGCTCACACAGTAGATGAATACATGCTGTCTTGTTGACATATGTGAGTAAAAGCGGTGGATAAGCTGATCTGAGGAGCAACAGCAGGTTTGCTGTCAAACAGGTTTCCTTTAGAACTTATTTGCTGTGTTCTGTACACAAACATTGTCCTCTTCTGGGGTTTCAGAAAGAATTTAAAGGGTTTATGCTACTTACAGTCTTCTCCAGGTGGCTTAAATGCTCATTTTAATAAGAAACAGCCCTGATACTCATTTTGGTTGGCAACTATTAGTAGCTTATAAAGTAGCCCTAGGGCTTTAGTCAGGGTAATGGGCTCTGAAATCCCAGGTAAGGCTGAGATCTGTGCTACAAAACTGCAGGAAGCAGAGGAGTGTAGCTGAGTGCTGCATTACCTTGCCTGGTCATCTACCTGCCTCCTTTTAAGAAACCTTGGAAAGCTGAATTACTTAATTCCGAAGGTTTGCAGTTTCTTTACCCATTCAGATTCCAGGTAGTGAGTAGCCCCTTGTGCCAGTAAGTGTATTTGCACTTTGCATCTGCTGCGCTCCTCCTCTCTGTTTAATATTCACCCCGGCACCATGACATGTGGGTCGAAGGTCCAAGATGCACATGGGAGCATCCTCCATTAATGCACCTGGAAACGCTGGCACCAGGTGAGCAGCTGAGCAGAGAAAAGCCATCACATACCTGCAGCTCCCAGGCAATTGTGCGAGAGGCTCCATATGTTCCGGTGCCCCCTGAAAGAGCTGGGTTTGGCATTGCATCAAAGTTATTTCTACCCCTCCTTGAAAGCGGATCTCCATTTAAACTGTGCGACTATGTGACCCTGTAAAGTCTGCCTGACAGGAGCACAGGTAGCCTGTGGGGCCTTATATCAGGCTGTTAGCAGATCTAGACAAGAGGGCTGCAAGGTGATCACAGTAATTTTCACCATGGTCTATGTGCCACAGCCTCTTTTGGCTTGGAAACAGCCCTGTTTGGTCCAGCTGTGCCAGGCCAGGGAGGTGTTGCACAGGCAGCAGCCTGACCATTGTATGAATGGCTTTCCAGTATTCAGAGCTCCAACATGGCACCCCAAGAGAGTGGTAGAATGGAGGGATATGTGATGGATTGTAGCAAAATGAGCCAGACCAGGCATGGTTTAAGCTTTGGGGCTGCCCAGCCAGGTGTCTTGTGAAGAGCCAGATAATTCAAACATTAAATCATGGTAGCTCAGGCAAGAGAAAGCAGATACTGGGGTTTTGTGGCACCTCAGTGGTTGATTTGGAAGCTTGAACTCAGAAACAACATTTTTTTTCCAACAAGTGAAGATGCCAGTTTTGAAAGGTTGCCCTTCTTTGTGCCAGCAGACAAAGGTGGTGGGACCTGTGTGTAACCTGTGCATCACTGTGACTCGCTTGGTGAAAGGCACAAGGAAGAAACACTGACCTCAGACTGCAGCCCTGAACTGACGAAAAAAGCAACATTTCAAGCTAATTCTTGAACAAACTTAGGCACCTGGCCAGCAGCAGGTAGTTTTGAATGATGCAGAGATTTCCACCCTGTGCAGCTAGCAGCTGGAAGGCACCGAACTGGGCATGGTGCATACGTACGCCATGCAGGAAATGCATCCTCTCCCATAGAGGTGGTCAGGGTTGGGAATTTTTTTCCTGTGATGAGGGATGCAGTGGGTTAGGGAAATCTTTTCCCCTCTCTTTTGCATTTCTGCAGAAATGACCAGACGCAGGGCAGGGGCAGCCTGGTCAGGTTTGGTCTCACCAGAAGCAGGGAGGGTAGCTAGGAGCAGCATTAGGGACTGGTTTGTCAGGAACAACTCCAGCAAAAATCTGAGGCAAGCACATATCCTCCTGTTTTCTCTTTCCCCATCCTAGTCGCTGCCAGATAGCAGTGTTTGGGCAGTGCATGCTCCATCTCCCAACCCCTACGGCTGCATCGAGCCCTGCTTGGTCCCATCCACTGAGCTGGCAGCAGGGGTTGGCATTGCAGAAGCTGTCGTTCCCACCACTAAAACTGTTAGTTACACAGAAGAACAACAGCAATGCACTGGGGGACCCAGAGAAAGAGCCCATCTGTCTTCCTTTTTTAGGATGATTAGGGAAAGTATTTGACTTGGCCAGCATGGGAAATTACATGGCTGAGAGAACTGCAATGCTGGGGCTGACTGCCTGGCAGTGGTGGGGAGCGGGGAACAGTGAAAAGGTAACAAACTGAAATCGTAGCTTCTCCTCCAGTGACCAGAATAAAATCCATAGCTGGACACAGCCTGTGCACAGGTAAGAAATAAGCCTGCTTGTTCCCAAAATGCTGAACAGTCCCTTGTGTTTGGCTCCTGAGGCACCCTGACACGGCCATGCCCCCCCACCTGCAACAAGGGTCCCATCTCACTGCTCCTATCCTAGGTGCATGCCTTTCCCTCACACTGGGATAGAACACCCCCAGCCAGTTTGCATCCTTATTTCTCTGTACAAGAGCCTGCATTTGCTGTATTTACACCTCTCCAGCCCATGAGTCATTAGCAAATATTGGACAGTTTGAATCTCATATTGGTTTTTTCCTCACTCTTTCATGGAACTGTTGAGTGTTGTCAAGTCAGATTCATTAGTGAAGAGTGAATACTTTATATCACCATCAGCAATGAACCATGTGCTGCAATCAACGAAAGACATCAACGTGATTTATTTTACTTATATTTATTTCCTGTAATTTTTTATTCATTGAGTCCTTTATCAGCTGTTCCACATTTTTGCCAAGGATCAATTTCAAGCTGTAAATCCGTAGCAGTATTAGCCTTATGAGTACTTGGCTTTCCAAATTCGCCCTTTTAAAATACTGGCACAACTTCAGCTCTCTTCCAGTTTTCTGCTACTTCCTCAGTACTTCAGTATTACTGAAAATAATGGTGATTTAAAGATCTCTTTGGCCACCTCTTCAATTTGATGAATAGGCTGGCAGTTTTGTGATGTTCAGCCAGCATGTATCGCAGTGGGGATGCAGATTTTGCCATGCATGTTTTACCCCACTGTTCCCACATGGAGCATTAACTATGCCTGTGTCCCAGTTTGCTGCTGAACCGATGCAGGTAAAATGAGGGATCCAAGAGTGAAACGGCGACAAGCCCTTCACAAACAAATCAGCTCAAATTACTACGTTGCAAAATGTAATGTCACTTTGACACTTTGTCAGTCATGGCTCACTGCAGCAACCGCTGGAACTAACAGACATTAATTACCTTTGTCAGGTGAAATGTGTTTAACTGCCTGCAACTTTACTTGCAGGAAACTCCCACTTCCTGCTGCCACTGCCAGGTTAAAGCCAACAGCACTGATTTTTAGGAAACGTCCAGGAATATTAACAACAGGGGATGGCCCTGTCTGTGCAGGATCGGTACTTGTCCTGGAGTCCTGCTTAGAGAAGAAAGGTCAACAGGATGTGGATGTAAGAGGAAGGTCTGCCAACCTGTCATCTAATCCAAGGGCATTCTTTTGTGACCTTTTCTTCTCCCTAAAAAATAAAGGAAACACGGAAGCAGACTGCCTGGAGAGCTGGTGCTCCTTGAACCTTGACGATACGCTTTCAGCACTGCAAGGAGACATTCAGCAGACAGCATTCAGGATGTGCCATCATTGCCCTAGCTATCGAGCTCCCATACAGATGTTCATTGAACTGTCAGGGCACTGAGAGTAAAATAAATTAATTGTAAGTGGAAGAAGGTTAGTTGAGTCTCTTCTGGAAGTATTACATAGCCATTAAATTGCATAGGAAACTCAATAATAATGGGCAATAATGTTCTTCTGAGGAATTAAATCGAAGTCCAATTTATAATGCTGCTTGGCATTCAAACCAGAGTGTTCCACCTTTCTGGTACATGATAAACATTTACTAATTAATCCTCACAAAGCCTCGGTGAGGCAGATCTCTTCACACCACTGATTTTGTTTTATAAGTGGGAAAAAGAAGGTACAAGATACTTCCTTTGAAGCTGGGCCTGTGTACATCTTCAAACGTGATTTGGGTCTCTGGGAGCCCACTTACCATCTGTGTTTGAATACTGAGAGGTTTGCAAAAAGCCTCGGAGCCAGGATCAGAAGTCAAGGTTTCTTTGTGCCACTTCACTGTGCTCAGACCATCATGGCATATTTCAGTACCACTCTTCTGCACAATATCCAGAATACTAATATTTTCCCCCCATGGTCATATTACACTGCAGGAATGGTGTTTAGAAACAAAGCCAATGGTCTTAAGTCTCAAGTAAGAGCTATAGGAATTGGCTCATATAATAGCTGCTGATTATGTCAAAATCAAAAAACAAACAAACCCAAAATTTATGACCAACTGGAAGCTGTTATTTGCAGAAGATCAATGTGGTTGTATGGGGTGTGGATTGTCAAATAAACGTGGATGTAATTTACACCAGGATGATGGACTATCCAGACTACAGACATGTTAGAATTTCCCAGTGTTATTTTAAAATTGTCTCTTGTCTTCCTTCCACTGCTTAAGGCATAGCATGAAGAAACACAGGGCGTAACGAAAGACAGCTCCATCCCAGCACTGAGCTGCTGCAAAAGTGAGGATCTTACCCATCAATTTCAGTTTAATTTTTGTCTCCTTACACAGGACACTGATTTGAGTTTGCAGTTGATCCCACAGCCTATGTGAGGATCCCACACAACACAGATAGATAGAAAATCTGCAGTACTCACAAACAGCAAATAAAAACGGGGATGGACACAGCTGAGTCTGAAACAGGGTTGTATAGCCATGATGCTATGAGTGAAAATGGTGAGCTAAAGTCCAGCTTCACAGTTAATCCATGATTTAGTATAAGTGTTGCTGTGACGGCTTAACAAGTAGTGTCCAACCTTCAGACACCACCAAGCTTAGCTCAGGGTCTGGCTTGGACAAGGAAGCATTTTTCTCATTCTTTTTTGTCTAAACAACCCTTAACACAAGACAAGTGGTAAGTTACTGAAAAGAACAACTCTGTATTGGCAATGGACTGTGCACAGAAAGCAAACCTTTATATCCCCAGTAAAAAAAAAAAAAGGGTTTATTACAATTTTTGGTACGTCAGAGATGTCACTAATAAGGCTTTAAAATATGTAACAAAGAAACCTCTACCAATTGGTTCTCAGTTAGAGCAGATCAGAAACTCTTTCAGGGGAGTTCGAAGATTGCTCCCATCCCACCCTTCTTCTCTTTGAATTAACATTAAAACTATACTTTGACAAGACAAGACATGCTAGATAAGATTCTGACTTATTTGAAATCACTGAGAATTTGTCCATTGCTTTCATTGAGAGCAGGATTTTACCCAGTATTTCAAACAGACCTTTATCAAATAGTGTTGAAAAAGATCTCAGGGGCCACCCTGTTTCTCCTCTTGCCATAAGGCAGGATCAGCTACATCTATGTCAGTCCTGATGAATGTTTGTCTAACTGCTCCTGAAAGAGCCTCAACACTTGATAGCACCTTGAGATCTGCTTCCATTTTCACCTGTCCTGAGATATGAAAAGAAAAAGGGCTTTCATTATCAGCTCTACCAGGACTTTTGACTGGTTTAAAGGACTGCTGACAATTTTAACATCTGATGTCTCGCAATCTGCTAAGGATAGAAACTAATCCTACCCACCCCAGGGAGTTTTTCCCATGATTTATTGACATTTTTCTCTTTTATCTCTTCTTAAGGTATCTGACACGAAATCATGTCATTCCGACTCCCGTCTCATGTTTTTCTCCACCACTTCAGTTCTGGTCTGATTTCAGTGGCTGCCCCGTAGAACCGACAGCTAAAACTAATGCTTTTCTTTATCTGAAGGCCTGTTAGTCTTCCAGCAGTGCAGCATAGAGTGCATAATTCTAATTCCAAGAGTGAAATGGCAACTATTATAATTATGTTGGCAACATGGAAAGGCAGAGAGGCAACAGAGCAATAATGACCATGCAGGACTGGAGCCTTTGGTTTCAAGAAGACCTGAATTGCACTCAGAAATAATAAACCGCAGCCCCTCATTGACAGGCAATTGGAAATACACCCCCTGCATCCCCTTCAATTACAGGAAACTTGCCCCAAAGCTGCTCAAAATACATTTATGGTTTAAAATGGGAAGCAACAGACACAAATATTAACATTTACGGCTGGTATTTCTGAAAGTAAAGGTCTGAGGCAGATGCTCACACGTAGCAGTCAGAGAATGAGAGTTGGATTTCCCATGCATTCTCTCTCATTCCAGGGTACACCATGCATTAAGCTTCCATAATAAATAATTTAAAAGACCCCAACTTGCTACACAGAATACCGATAGCAAATAGCACAATTCGCTGTTGATATAGCATGTGAGAAAAGGCTTTGTACTGAGAGTCGGCTCTTAACCATTACTGAGGGTTTTATTCCCCCAAACAAACACTTAACAATCTCTAAAAGTGAAAGAGAGTCTTTTCATCCAACCCATAAAATACCTAGTTTTATAGATAATCACAAAATCTCCTGACATTAAAGGGTCCCAGCTTTGCACATGGGACAAAGTCGTTAATGCTGTGAGAGACCGGCAGCAGCCAAACCAGAGTTTCAAATACGACTCCTTGCCAGCAGACTCCTCTGCATGGTTACAGTCACCAAACAGAACGTCATTAGGAAAGGGCACTGGAGGGAGAATGCCATGCTGCTGGCCAGAGAAACTCTACATGCTGTTTGCAGTTAAAATAGCAGCTGACTTAGCGGGGGGATGGAGAGTCTGCGTAGGAACCAGGACTGTATGACCCATGGGGATGCATCTATAGAATCACCTCAGTATCTGTGGCTTTGATCTTCCTCAAGAATTTGATAGGATTCATTGAGAGTTGAAATGATCTTCCTGGGACAGCAGGAAAGCTTTTTCTTCTCAGTGCTGCCTAAAGAATAGGTTCCTGAAGGCATTGTTGTAGTTTTTGTTGAAAGCAGTATAGATGAGTGGATTAAAAAAGGAATTTGAATAGCCTAGCCATAGAAAAATACTCTTCCAAATGGGTGGGATGTCACAAGAGCAGAGAGGGTTGATGAGCTCCGTGATGAAGAAGGGGATCCAGCAGAGCACAAAGACCCCAATAAGGATGCCCACCATGAGGGCAGCTTTCTTTTCCTTCTGCTCTCTCCACGTGTCTCCCTCCGTCTGGAACGTAACGGTGGCATGACGGACAGTGAAGACCATCTGCGGCTGCTGGGCAGCGTCTTTTACCTGCCAAACACAAACACAAGTTGCACCATATGTGCTTCAGTCAGCTGATCCCCCACAGCAGGTACACAACCAAGCAACGCAGGTAATGACCAGAGCTCACTGGGAAACACAGGCCATCTACGTCATGCTCCAATTGAGGGGAGAGTGGCTGTATGACCCTCTTCTGGGTAATGGAGGTTATTTTTAGGTGAGGCTAGAAAATGAGCAGCCTAGTGAGGTATGGGCACATAGAATTGCTCACATGTAAGATTATTTCCCCATTTACAATCTGATCAGTGGAACAGGCACACACCCACATGCCATGCACAAGTCTCCTTGCTTTCTCTCAACCCATTAAGAGTCCTTGGGAGAAAAGGCAAGAAAATGAGCATACATTTCCTCCTTCTCCCCAAGAAGTCTTTGCAGTGTACAGTCACCGTGCTTGGGATGAACTGACACAATGCAACCACGATTAGGAAGCATATACAAGGACATTCTGCACATGTGTCTTCTGCACGGGTAAATTCAGAGCCTCCCCACAGCCACAGCAGCTTACCAGGGGATCGTCCCTAGTGGAGACAGGATCCCAGCACTGACACCGCCACATGGATCCCCATGGGAGGAAGGCTGACCCCTTATTCCCGCTCCCAAGCACTGATTCAGCATTCCACAGGGGTACAGCTGTGAGTCACTGCACACCCACGTGGAGCTCAGGCTCCCAATCTGGCCCAAAGTTGCTTTAGCTACACCTTGCTGCGGACTTGGAAGGAGTCAGAAAACTGGGCTTGCAAGCTTTGCAGTCAGTTTTCCCTTGAAAGCCTCCAGGATTCACAGGGCTTTGGTGGGATGCTGTTCACTTGCACGCTTTAGCACTAAGTTTCCCCCTCCACTGCAAGGGCTTGTCGGATGCCAGTAGTTGACTAGAGCAAAAAGCAACCAAGCTGACCTACCTCCAGGCCTTCTCGTGTAATGGGGGTGATAGAGTTGTTCTTCCGAGACCCAATTCGAAACTTTGCGGCCTTGTAGATCTTCCAGTACACAAAAAGCACTACACAGAGGGGCAGGTAGAAGGCGCCAAAAGTGGAGAAGATGGTGTAGGAAGGCTCCTGGCTGACCTGGCACTCCTCATTGTTCTCCGAGTAAGTCTCTCCCCAGCCAAAGAGCAGTGGGGCCAAGGAGATGAAGGCAGAAAGTGCCCAGGTGAGGGCAATCATGACATTGGAGATGCGGCGCCGGGTGCGGAGCGTGTACTCCAGATGGCGAGTGATGGACCAGTAGCGGTCAAGGGCAATGGCTGTGACATTCCAGATGCTGGCGGTGCAGCACAGCACGTCGAAGGAAATCCACACTTGGCAGAGCAACCGGCCCAGCCGCCATCGCCGCCCCGACAACTCATGCACCAAGCTGAGGGGCATGACCAGGGCTGCCACCATCACGTCGGAGACGGCCATGGAGGCCACCAGGTTGTGGGGCACCCGGTGGAAAGTGCGCACCCGGAGGATGGTGGCCAGGACCAGCCCGTTCCAGAGGAACGTGGCCACCACCAGCATGGCCAACAGGGTGAGGACCAACACGCTGAAGACGGAGAGGTGCGCCCGGTCCCCGTCCGGACCGGCGGAGTTCCCGCTCCGGTTGCCGGTGTCCGGCGTCGTATCGGCAAAGCAGCTGAGGTTGAGAGGGCGCTCCATGCTGGGGGCTCCGGGGCGCGGAAGGGAAGGAAAAGGGGAGGGACACCCTACCGCGGGCGCGGAGGGTCCCCGCCTGCCCCGAGCGGCGCCGGGCGCGGCGGCTGGTGGCTGCCCGCCGCCGGGGTCTTCATCCCCGGGAGGAAGCGCCCTGCGTCAGCCGCCGGCTGACAGCACCCCCCGTCCGCCCCGGTGCGCCGGCCCCGGCGGCGGGAGGCGGCGGCTCCGCGGGCGCGGCTCGGTGCGCGGCTCCGGGGCGGCGCGGGGCGGCGCTGGAGGCGGCGGAGCCCGCGCGGAGGAGCGGCTGGCCCTGCGGAGGAGTCGGGCAGGTGAGTCTCCCGGCCGTGCGCGGGTGCTGAGCGAGCAGCCTCTCTGTGCGGGTCGTGCTTAGTCATGTCAGTGCGGAGCGTCCCTTAGAGCCAGCGCGGGGCGAAGCAGAACCGGCAGCCACTGCCCGCACCGTGCGGGGCGCAGCCCCGGCTTTGTCTGAGCCGCTGCTCCCCCGGGTGGCTTCCCTCCATGGGGAGTATTCCGTGTCAGGCGCAGAAAGTTAGGATCCCTGCGAAATTGTAGCGGGGCTCTTCGGGAAATGTGTTAGGGAGGTGACACGGGAATTGTGTAGCTCCCATGTCGGTTGGTGTCTGTGCCCAGCTAAGCCGTCAGTAATCGCAGTTATTCTGTGCAGGGGGGGATGTGGCAAGGGATCATTTCTTTGAGAACTTCTGCTCCGGCATTTCCTGACTTGTTAGCAATTGGCAGGTCTTTTATTAGAAATAATCTATCTCTTGGATGTTGTTGCTAATTGTTAAATTAACGACATGAACCGCTAATGAAACGTTCGAGCAGTTCACCTGGGGGTTATCACTATGCTTGTGATGAGAAGCGCAATTCTCGGCCTCTTAGCAGAAGGCAGGATTTAAACCCACCGAGCAGGTTTCCCTGGGCACCAGCTTCATACAGCCAGGGCTAGCCTGCAAGCCCCTGACGGTGCGCAGGCAGAGCTGTGCCGGTGCTGGCACCCAGCTTCTCCGGGTGATGCCGGTATAATGGGTACCGAGAGCTTTTGGGTCGGAGCTGACCCATGATGTGAGAAGCCGACAGGCACTAACATGAGTCTCGCAGTCTGCATCTCCGGGGGGGAGAAGGAAAGAAAGGCATCAGTGTTAGGAGCCAGTGACTATGACGCTGGTGAACTGCACTTCGAGGGAGTTGGGGGAGTAGACTCAAAAGAAGGAGATGTTTGGGGAGTACCTGATGCACACTGTGCTCGTGGTATACAGAGGGTAAAACCACTTGATGTCTCTTCTGAATCTCTCCGGGCTTTTTAATGAAAAACAGCAAAGTAACAATAACAAGGGCTAAAGAAACGAGGTATTTTCTAGTGCAGGCACTTGTTTCTCTCCGCTATTAAGTGAAACACAAGGCAGCAGATCCAGAACAGCTCCAGGACCTTGTTTTGGTGGGGTGGGAATTTCCCTGTATGGACTCATGCTGTGCTGTGCTGTTCATCTTCAGAGCCAGAGAACAGGACCTGGCCTATTGTAGTTACTAGAATAGATGTAGCCTTAGAGACTGTAACATAATTCTGGAAAGATACTGCCATATTTTGGGGGGAGAGGTGATTATCTTTTATGAACATGAATACAGACAATTTTGCAATGGTTAGGGTTTTTTACTTAAACTCAAAGGCCAGATGTGGTTTGTAGGCTTTCATAAGGCCTTTTGATTTACAATTCCTGGTTTGCAAGGTGCCAAACACCCTTGACTGTCATTCAGTTGATCAAAACACTTAGCAACTGCTAGAACTGAGAGCTTTTTGTTGCGTGGGCCCTTCCCAGAAAAGCCTATGAAGGCCAGAATTAACAGAATCCACCACAAATTGTGGAATATGTGCTCCTGAAAAGAGATGATTATTTTTTGCTTCAGGAACAAATAGACAAAAATTAGATTTAAAGGGAAATTGAGATAAAATGTATTAAATCTGAAGAAGTAAAACTAGTTTATCTTCTAATGAAAACTTATTGATAATTTCATTATTTTACTTACTGGACTTTAAAAAATATATATATTTAACAGATTCTGGAATTGAATGGGTTGGTTATTAATTTGAAATAGAAAATGTAGACTAATACATATATATGGCATGTATGGAAATGCAAAGGTCTGCACTTGGGACAGAAGAACCCCATATACAATACAGGCTGGGGACTGACTGGGACAACAGCATTTTGCAGAAGAGGACTTGGGTGGCCTCTTGGGCAAGAATTTGCAGTTTGCAATGTGCCATTGCACATTCTATAGCATCCTGGTCTATATAAGCAGGACTGTGGCCCTAAGGCTGAGGGATGTAACTATTTCCTTCTATCCAACAAGCCTTGGAATTTTATGTCCAGTTTGGGGTTTCTCAGTAGAAGACACTGACATACTGGGGGAATTCCAGTGGAAGGTCATCAAGATGATGAGTCCATCAAGAAGTAGACTGGTGTATGATGTATAAAGAGAAGGAGAATTAAGTTTATCAATTTTAGAAAAAGAAAGTTAAGGGGAAAATCTCACTGCTCTCCCCAGCTACCTCAGGGGAGAGTGTAGAGAGTGTGGAGGCAAATTCGTCCTAGAGGTGTACAGCGACAGGACAAGGTGTAATAGCTTTAAACTGAAAGAGGGTACATTAGATCAGGTACTAGGAAGAAGCTCTTTCCTGTGAGGGTGATGAGGCACTGGCAGAGGTTGCCCACAGAAGCTGTGGCTGTCCCATCCCTGGCAGTGTTCAAGGCCAGGTTGGATAGGGCTTTGAGCAACCCGGTCTAGTGGAAGGTGTCTCTGCCCACCTCAGGGGGATTTGGAACTGGATGATTTTAAGGTCCTTTCCAACCCAAACCATTCTATACTTCTATGACAAGATGCAGTGAATGCAAAACACATCAGATATCCCAATTAGAATTTAGGAAATAAATATTCACCTGGAGAGTGGTCAAACACTGAAATGGGTCTAAAGACAACGTGAAATATCCATCCTTGGTGATGTTCAAATTCAACTCGACAGAACTGTGAGTGATCTAACTTTGTGATCTAACTTTGGAGTTGGCCCTTCTTTAACTGGGGTTAGACTAGGTGATCTCCAGAGGTCCCTTATGACCTAAATCACTCCTATATTCTGGCCTAGATTCTGATTCTGCAGTCTTCAAGCACATTCGCTGAATGCACCAGGTTCTGGAGGTGACTGAATGTTGTTATTTTTAAGGACAAAATGCTGTTTATTTTGCACAGATATGTAAGCCCATTGATTTCCTCAGAACTCTGAATATTTATAAAGTGTGTGTGGAAGGCTGGGATCTGTAGCAAGGGGGTAATGTTTGTGGAACGATCATATCTATGAAAATCTCTGAGGAAAGTATCTGCACTACAACGTCAGGGTTATCTCACATCCTCACTCATCCTACATCAGTGAGGATGTGACAGGACTTCCGAGATTTAGCAGGGTTCTCTTCAGTAGCGACTGCTTGCTACAAAATACCATTTACTGGAGATAGTTTCCAATTCAAATATATAGCTGATGGTTGGAGGTCAGGAGGGAATTCCTAACATTATCAGTGCCACTGCTTACATGAACATCCAACCAGTATTTGCTCTTGCGGACAGGGTGAATGGACTTATATTGTGTGTCTGCATGCAGATCTTTTGAACCTCTGTACTTAGAACTGGAAGAAAAGGCAGAGGAGATGGCTCAGGAGGTACTTTTGCTGGGCATACTTAATGAATGAATGAGAGAGAATTTCAGTCTACAGGGTAGGTGGAGCTGCTAGGCTAAACAAGGATTAAGGGAACTCATATATTCACTGTATATAGACACCAAGGCTGGAAGCTCTGCTCAGTTGCCAGCCAGACTGCTCAGTAAATGTGCAGCCAATGTGCCAAAGCAATTTCTAAAACTCAGGTAATCATCACTTAGATTTCATTTAACATTCGTCAGCTCCAGCTCACACTTACTACATCCAGGTATGCTTTATGAACACATTTGCAGACAGCCTGCTCCTCTCCTGTAACAAATAAATCAAACACAGTCAAAATGCACAGACCATGAGGTTGTTCTCACACCCTCAGAGCCTATCCACACTTCTGATCTCACTCTAGTCTCCCAAGCCCAAGACCTTCAGAGATGGCCAGTATCAGCACTATGATGGATTCTCATGATAGCTCATCTCTGGCTTAAGTGTCCTGTGGTGCTAGGACTGTAGTTTTGGCAGCAGAGAGGGGGAATGCTGTTCATGGACAGAAACAGCTTTTATGGAACTCATCTCTGCCTAATTCATCCCACAAAAGCTGTCTCAGGTGCAGGGTAGCAGCTCTAGTTGTGAGGAAGACTTGAGTGATTCCCTCCCTCTCCAGTGGTCTGGGAGAGCATGCATTTGGGACATCAAGGTTCAAAGCATCACAGCTCAGCTACGGGCTTGAATCATGATGCTTTGTATCTCACATAAGCATTTTCATGGTGAAGCAGCTGGCTATTCTGGGTAGCTATCTCTCAGGCCTCTTATGTTGAAGCTGGTTAATAATCATGTATTCACTGGAGCATGGACTTACCTGAGGTTTTCTAACATCCTACTGCATCTGAAGGATGGAGACAGCCTTTCTCTCCCAGTAACACGTAACTATTTACTGCAAAGTGGAGCAATTCCTAGTGACCGAGAGGCAGAGATTAATCCTGCTCTGTGTTAGTAGGTCACTCAGCAGGATTGTGGGAGTACATCAGAGTGGGAGCAAAGAGGACCTGAGTGTCCCACATCCCCAGAGTGCCCCACTGACTGACCTGTTTGCCAGACTGGGTTATCTTGCTCCAGGTGCTTATGAGGAGCTTGGAAAAGTCTTCCTGTCTTGGGGCAGAAATTAAAACAATGAGTCAAAATGCTGCTGGCTTTTTATTTGTAAGGCTGGAAAACTATTCCTCACCCAGCGTCTAATAGCAGATCCCATTTGGTTTAGGGCATGCAAGCTTTCCTTTAGGAATTGTCATCAATTGCATGACTTCAGTGACATAACCGAAGTGTTGTTTATTTTTGCAATAGGCACAAAGCAGAGGAAGGACAAAAGATGTTCAACATGTTCAAGCCTTTTTTGAATATCCACATTTCCTAGAGTACAGTCCTCTCTTATGTAAACTCCTTGGTGTCTCAGTCC